CTCCACAGCCCGCTAATGAGACCCTGTTAGTGGTTATGAATGTAAATGCATTCTGGGTTATCCCTGAGAGATGAGGATTAGGGAAACGACAGGCTTTATTGCTGCTGTGAGGAAGAGATGATACGGGCGGTTGTCGTGTCTTTAATTTTTTTGGCAGTGCCAAAGCAGTGAGCTGCTTGGGTGAAATAAACAAGAAGCTGCGGGAGAAGAGCCAGGGCACCGAGCATGGGAGACTGGAGTCGTCCAGTCCTCCGCTGACTGCAGAGGAGATGCACTGTGTGCTCGCTCTCCCTCATGGGCCCCACAAAGTCCTGGACCTGGCCCACCTCTGAGAGCAAGCCTTTGTCTTCAGAGATGGAGGCATTAATGAATGTGTACACAGTGAATGGGCTTTGATTCAATCCCTATCGCTATCAAAGGAACCCCCTCACCAGAGGCCCCACTGACACCTCAGAGACCTAGGGTTGCATAAGGCAGTATCCACCAAGGAGCCCCAATGGTGCAGTGGTTGTGTGTCAGGCTGCTAAGCGCAGGTTTGGGAATTTGACACTAACAGTTGCTCCATGGGAGAAAGAGAAGTCTTTCTGCTCCGCTAAAGAGTCTCAGAAACGCACAGGGGCAGTTCTACTCGAACCTGCAGGGCCTGTGACACGGTCCTAAAGGGAGGCTAGAAGTTGGAACTGACAGTGGGTTTGAGTTTGAGTTTTTCTTGGCCCATGCCTGAGATGGCTAATTAACCTAGAATTAGTAGATACCCAACTCCCTATAAAAACAAGCAAACAAAATAAGTGCATGGAGGAAGCCAAGGAAAAAGGCAAAGGCTTCAGACTCTCATATAGAATCAACATCCTAATATGACCGCCTAGGTCACAACATACCAAGAGGTCAGTGACCTGGGGTGCTGTAACGCATCACCGTGCTCCCTGTAAAGGTTGGCTAAACTCAGGAGAGGAGAACGGGACGTGAAATATAGAGTAAAATGCAGAGAGAAAGAAAACTTAGAGGAAAAAATCAAATCATCCTAATAAACAAAGAGCAATTGTGTGTGTGTGTGTAACTTAATTAAAATATGGGCAAAGGACAAAATAATAAGCCCATTGAAAAATGGGTCTAGGAAATAAACAGACAAGTCACAGAGGATGAACTATGCTCCGCTGATAAACAGGGAGGGGAATTCTCGGCTTCCTGGCAATGTGGCTCAGACTCTGCCACCACCTTCCCCAGTGGAGGTCTGCCTGCTGCGAGGTGCAGACTAAGTGTAGGTCACTCCTGAAGCGAGGAGCTTCCAGGCTACTTCTGAACATCAGCCAATGAAAACCTTCGGAGTCATCATAGTTTGCTCTATTCCTGTACACGGGTGGCATGAGCGGGGCAGACTTGACGGGAGCTAATAGCAATAAGCATATAGAAATACACTCAATCTCACTAGTCCTCAAAAAGCCACATTTAAAAGCAATCATAGTGTTTGTCGTCTAACACACTGGCAGAGGTTCATATGTCTGGCTGCGGTAGACAGAGAAACAAACGTCTCACCCCCACCCCCCACCCAAACGTCCACATTCTACTCCCTGGTTTGGGTGACTATTTGAGGCTCCACGACAAAGGGGACTTCCCAGGTGTGATGATTAGGTTAAGTCTTAAAGGGGAAAATTATCCTGGATTATGCAGGTGGACTCCACGCAACCACAAGATTCATAGAAGAGGGTGGCGCAGGTCTGGGCAGTGTGCACGGGTTACTGAGCCAGAACTGGCTTGAGAGCACCTAACGATGACAACAAAAGGGGTCGCGACCCACAGGTTGAGAACCGCTGCTCTAGCGCTTCTGCCTTCCAGAACTATAAGATAATCCATCTAGATTGTTTCAAGCCTCTACAGGTTTTGCAGCCACAGCAGAAAACTGATACACCCACAATACCCAGAGACGGGCAAAGTCGGAGGAAAACCACTCCCGGATCTGTTGGCAGGCAAGTACAGGAATAGTGCATGTCACAGTCGTTAGCACCCTGGTGTGGCGGGGCAACATTGGGCTGCTAAGCGCAAGGTTAACGGTTTGAAACTGCCATCCACTCTGAGGGAGAAAGACGGGACTGTCTCTCCCCGTGAAGAGTTCCAGTCTCGGGAACTCACAGCACGGTAGCTCTGCCCCGTCCTACAGGGTCGCTCTACGTTGGCAGCAAGTTCGGTTCTCATGATGAACTCCATCAATTTCCCCTAAGACACTCAGGGGTGCTTGTAAACCTGTGTGCGTCTAAAGATGAGCACTGCAGTGTTACTGGAAGTGAGCAAAGTCGGGGGCCTCTTATAGGTTTCTTTCTTTGTGATTTTTAAAAAAACTTTTATTATTTGAAGCTTAATTTCTTCCCAAGCCATAAATATTTGCTTCTTCAGTTTCTTCTGGGAGATCTTTGTCTTCTGAGCAGCCTCCTCTTCTGGCTTAGGCGCACTTTGTCCCTTTAAGTAAGGGTCATTCTGATGTGGCAGGGGGAGCTCATGCATGGACTGATGCGACCGACCGTGAGCTCTGGAAGTCTGGCACCACACCTGCATGTGCTCCCGAGACCAGAGAATTCACATCTAAACCCTTAGGTTCAGCATTACTCTGCATTTTTAAGCTAGTGCAGCAAAAATCCAGCCCTCCTTTGGGGCCACCAACGCTGGGTCCTAACCCCACTGTTTGTTTGGCCTGGGCACACCTACCAAGGCCACCATTATAATGTCAAGGGCACACACTGCTGCTGCACTGTGACATTTTTCAAATATTTGGTGGCTTTCGGGATATGCATAGCCTTGATGGCCTGGGCAGTTTCACGGGTGTTCTTAAGGTGGGCCAGAGATTCAACCCTCTTGATTTGGGGTTTTCTGGGTCGAGTGAGTAGCGAACCATTTGGCAGATCACCTCAGGCCACTGCAGGAAGAGCTCTTTGTGATTTTTTTTATGTGAGAAGGGAAAATGCTAAACATCGGGAATGCTGCGTGAATGGTCAAGGACTTCCTCCCCACCTTCCCTTAGATTCACTCAGGGTTAACATTTTGCCTCATTCGCCTGGTCATTCGCTTTCTTTCTGAATCTCCAAATACTTGTTAGTGGGGAATTAAATTATTATCCAATTAAATTATTATCTAGTCATACACTAGAATAGTACCCAGCAAAATTTAAAGTAAGTTAAATCCATGTTGACATTGTATTCACTCATTTATTCAACACAGCTTCTTTCCCATGCTAAGGCCCACTCCCCTTCCCCTTGCTCCCAACACAATCCCCCCCCACACACCAAAATGAATGATAAGCTGGCATTATTAGAGAGGAATTATGCTTCAGGTAGGTACTCATTGCTGCTGCTTGCTAGTATTGTTTTCTAATAACCTTAGCTATGTTTAGTGTGGCTCCCAGACACAGAAGATGACCCAATCCCCAGAGCCCTGGTGGCACAGTGGTTTCAAGTTGGGCTGCTAACCGCAAGGTCAGCAGATCAAAATCACCAGCTGCTCTGTGGGAAAAAAAGATGAGGCTTTCTATCTAGTCTAAGGTGACCAGACATCCCGCTTTTGGCGGGACAGTCCTGATTTTTGGCATTTTTAAAAAGTCCCAATTTTTGGAAAGAATGCACAACAAACTAGGGAACGGTCTATTTGGTTCATCTAAACCAAATTTTTAATGAAGAACACCCCCTTCCTACGGTCAATGGTGTCCCACTTTAAATCTGGTCACCTTAATCCAGTCCCAGCAAGGGGAATAGCTCATAAACCCACCAGGGCGGTTCTACCCTGTCCTATAGGGTTGCTATGAGTCAGAATTGACTCAAAGGCAGCGAGTTGGGTTTGTTGTTTTTGACCTGGTCTTCAGAATCATGCTGCAAGGCAGTGGGGTGGGGGTGGGGGGCGGTATCTCCATCCCACCACCCAGAAGAAAATCAGAGTGGCCTCACGGGACTGGTGGAGGCAGCACCCGGATCTGAACCAGGCCCGGGAAGCATCAGAGCTCACAGGCTCTCTGGGTGCTTCCTGCCACACCCCTGCTCCCATTCCCCAGCACAGCGACTTAGACCTGGCCCTGCATACATCATTTCATCGGATGGAGCCTCACCTGAAAGTTCGCCGGAGGGACTAGGCCACCATTAAGACAGGCAGGATGTCTCTTCCAGGGGCCTGTTCACCTGATGGTTAGGATCAAGCAGTCTGCTGTTGTATGCCTCCTCACCCACTCACTCCACCCGGAAACGAGTCGGGGCAGGCGCTGCTGGGCGTGTCCCAGTCAGCTCTGACATGGCCCGTGATCATGGGCGCTTCTCCTGCCACCTCAGACTGGACAACTGAGCTGGTCCTGATTGCACTCTTGTAGGAGAGAGGTGCATGTGAGTGGGTGCCTCGCCCACTAGTGGCTCCTGGGAAGGGAGGTGGGGTCTAGAGGAGCCCAGCCAGCAAGGTGTCTGCTGTGAGTCCTCTCTGGGCTCATGGGTGGACTCAAGAAGCTAGACTACAATGACCTCAAAGATGTCTTTCCTGGAGGTCAGACCTCGGGAGAACTTTCAGACGATCAGCGATTGATGAAGTTTGAAAAGATGAGCTGGCCATCTCATTGTCTGAGGACCCGTGGCCACCCCATCTTCACATCGACAAAGCCGTCTGCACCTTCTGACTGTGAATGAAACTGGCCTATCAGCCTGCAATGTTTTTTTCCATGCTACATCCTAAAAGCAAACAGCAAGCCCTGTGGCCTCTCTCAGCTCTTTCTTGAGAAAGAGAAACATCCGCGGCTGCCCGCGATCACACCTGGCGGGCGTCCACTACCAGCCCACCTGACGTGGGATCAGATATGGCAGCCAGCAGGCTTGACTGAGGAAAAACACCTTACACCCCTATTTCCAAGAAACCTCGACTTGTTTGTCTCTGCTGCTCCTTTTCCCTAATATTCACCCGACCACACACAAGGTGCTCAGAATGCCTCGCGCAGCGCACTTGCTGGTGACTGGGGTCGGCAGTTAGTGGGAAGCCTGGCCTACCTGTCCTGTCCTGTTCGAAAAAGGGCCTGATGAGCTGGCCAAATCTTGTCTTGTCTGCCACCGCCTCTTTCAGCAGCTGCCCGCAGCAGACTGGGGGAGAGAGAGGAGAAAGACGCTGTTAAATTTTAAAGCGAAGGAAGAATAGGGGGAGGGGGTGGTAAGAAACCCCAGCGCTGCCTGCTGGGAGGGGGGGAAAAAAAGGTCACTGAAAAAAATATTAAAAGGCTCTTCTGTGTGGGGGGGTGTCCATGTAAAAATAAATATCAAAAAGAAACGGGGACATAAAAAAGCAGCAGAGGGGAAAGACGTGAAATGAAAAAGAATGCATTTCGCAAAGAATGTATTAAAAATGAACTGGGCGAGGGAGATACTAATTAGGGATGTTGCCATCCTAGAGACTCCTGCGGGGCCACAGTTACACCTGCAGTGGCTGAGGGTGTGTGACAGGGAGCCAAGTTCAAGGGAGAACGATTTCACGCCTTGCTGGGTTATTTGCCATGGGGGGGTGGGGGGAGTTGGGGGAGAGCGTTCACATCATTGTGGCACAGGGTAGGCAAGCTTGCGGAAGCTTGCTGCCTCCACAGCCCTCTGTTGGCAGGGGTGGGTCCTCATGAGTAGTCCACCCATATCATTATATGATAGAGTAAAGATCCTGGCGCACCATTAAAAGGCGCCATGCTGTAGTTATGACCGGATACTCCACTGCCCCTTGAGAGGCCAGCACACAAGAGTCGAGCGATTAAACACAGGGGACCATCTCCTTTAGGAACCGTGGCTGGCGCCATCGTTAGGCGCCGAGCTGCTACTTGAAAGACTGGTGGTTTGAATGTACACAGCAACTCCACAGGAGAAAGCTCTGCAGAGCACACCCACGTTTAGTGAAAAGTAACCCTATAAGGCAGTTCTAGTTCATCGTGTCAGGTCACTAGGAGTCAACATTTTGCTCTGGTATTTTCTTTCTTGAAAAACAAATCATTTTATCGGGGGCTCTTACAGCTTTTATAACATTCTTTACATCAATTGTATCAAGCATAAGGGTGACCAGACGTCCCGCTTTTGGCAGGACAGTCCCGATTTTTAACAATTTTTCCCGCGTCCCGCGGCATCGTTAAAAGTCCCAATTTTTTTAAAGAATGCACGACAAGCTAGGGTATATGGTTTTCGGCTGCCATGTGGCTATTTCGCCAGGATATGAGTTTTATCAGTGATGTCCCGCTTTACCAATGTTACAATCTGGTCACCTTAATCAAGCAGATTTATACATATGTTGCCATCATCATTTCCAAAACATTTTCTACTTGAGCCCTTGGTATCAGCTCCTCTTTTTTCCCCTCCCACCCTCGTGAATCCTTAATCAATTATATATTGTTATCATTATTTTGTATCTTTAAAAATGTTTTTGCTTTGTTATTGTGGGTCGGTTTGTTTTGTTTTTTTTTAAAGGCATGCTTTTCTGTCTATGAAAATCCAGAAGCTGTAAAGCTATAGCAGTAACTGGATGAATGGTTTCCTGGAGGCCTGGCAGGGAGGTCGTAGGGCAATTGGGATCTGAGAACAAAGTACAGGAAAGAAGAAAACTGTGATAATACGATTGAACCACTGAGTTATATTACATGTGAAATATATGCCAATAAAATGATTTTTTAAATCAATTTGATAACACCTAACACCAACACATTTATCCTAGCTGATTTAAAGTCTGTGGGTGCTAATTCTAACAATCCTGTCCTGTCTTCATCTGGTTCTGAGGTCTACCACAATTTCTTGCTCTTTTGTGTGTCAAGTCGTTTGGGGTTATATGCTGGACATTGGGGTATCTGTTTGTTGAAAGTCTATACTGATGTATGGATTGTGCTAAGAGTTGTATGAGGCACTAAAAAAATGATCTTAAAAAAGCAGGCAACTTATTTTGGGCACTATTGTTACTTTAATATTTAAGGTAGTGCCTGGCATTTAATAGGCTTTCCGTATTTGTGAAAGAATTAATGAATATTAAAATAAATAAACAAATGAATAATTAAAAAAAGAAAGTTTATACTGAGCAGCTCTTCTTTAAGGAGTGTTAAGTGAAAAAGAGTTGAGTTACGGGGGAGCGGGGAGGGAGGGGGAAAACGAGGAGCTGATGCCAGGGGCTTATGTGGAGAGCAAATGTTTTGAGAATGATGAGAGTAACGGATGTACAAATGTGCTTTATACAATGGATGGATGTATGGATCGTGATAAGAGTTGTATGAGCCCCAATAAAATGATTTTTTAAAAAAGAGTTGAGTTACAACAGGCAGCTACGTAATTGGAGGCTCAATCTGATCCTGTTGAGATGTGTGTCTAGGCTCTGTTAAAACAAAACAAAAACAAGTCAAACCCACCGCCGTTGAGCTGCTTCTAACGTATAAACTTACTCACAGCCATTGTGTCGACGTCGACTCAGCGACCCTATAGGTTAGGGTAGAACTCCCCCCGTGGGTCTCTGAGACTCTGACTCTATGGGAATCGAAAGCCTCGTCTTTCTCCCTCCAAGTGGCTGGTGGCTTCAAACTGCTGACCTTGCAGTTAGTAGCCCCCTGTATAGCCACTGCGTGACCAGTGCTCCTTTGACGGTGACCCTAGACAGAGTTTCCGAGGCTATAAATCTTTATGGGAACAGATCGCTTCATTTCTTACCAGAGGGGCAGCCGGTGTGTTTGAACCGCCAGCCTTCCAGTGAGCAGTCCAAGACTTATCCAGCAATGCTCCCAGACTCCTTGGACTTTGTTCAGGCAGCACTAACATAGTCCTGACTCTGCCTATAGCCAAAATATCCCTACACCCTATAAGATGTGGGCTTTCACAAGTCCCACCAGACCGTCTGGGCTGTGCAGCAGGGTCGCTCCACTCTGGCTAACAGGATGCCAACGCTTCCCATTCTGTGGACAGCCTGTCCTCTGCCGGGCTCCGTGTACTCTCTCCCGCCTCAGATGGAGCTCTGCATTGACTTAAGATTCAAGCACACCCCGTTGACTACTGCCACCAGGACCTGCCAGCCCAGTGATTAAGGTGGGCACTTGGAGGTCACCAGCAGTTCCATGGGGCAAGGGCTGGGGATTGGCTCCTGCACGATTGGGCAGCTCTGCTCTACCACACGGACTCGGTATGGGTCAGAATCTATGCGACAGCAGACAACGATGTTATACATGCGCTTGAGACTTTAAAGGAAACGTGTCATGAAAATGAGTGGACAGATGAGAAACTCGGGAGAGAAATGGAAACTAGAAGGAACCAGGTGGAACTTCTAGAACTGTATCATACGGCGTTTTAAATGAAAGGCAAAGCAAGATAAACCACTGGATGAGCTTGGCGGCAGATTATAGACTGCAGAAGAAAAGATCTTTAAATCCAAAGACAGAAAAACAAGGCAATACAAGGTTTCCAAACTGTCACAAAGAAAGGGTGTTAAAGGGTTGTAAAGAAAAGGAAAAAAAAAGGCAGGGGCAGATAGAACCTTGGGGAAGCGGAAGACAGCAGTAAGCAATGTGACATAAATGTAATTGGAGTCCCAGGAGAGGAAGGAGGGGCGAGAGAAAGAATGAGTACATGAATGAGCTAGGAAGAATATTTGAGAAAATAATGGCAGAATAATTTCCAGATTTGATTCAAAACAACCCATAAACCCCAAAGCTCTGGAACCCAAGCAGAGAAAATACAAAGAGAACCCACCTGGATGCACAGTAGTCCAGTTGTTGAAAACTAAGGGGGACGAGAGAATATTCAAAGCAGCCAGAGGGTTGACAAAGATGCCTGATACA